GGCGCAGTTCTCCTAGGTCAGTGCAGGTGTTTCTCTTCAGCAGCTCTGCCTTCACGGAGGCCAGTGCGTCCCTGTCTGCAGTGGCGAAGACCATGTCGTCTACGTAAACAAGGATGCAGAACGGGGTCTGGTCAGCACGAACGAGGAGCGAGGGGTGTGCAGAGGACGAAAAGAACTGCAGGTCAGCAAGGGTAGCACGCAGTGTGTCGTGCCACTCATGGGGCACCTGTTGCAAGCCGTAGACGGGGCGCTGCAGTACCCATTGCGTCACAGAAGGGAATATATCAGTGAATCCCTTTAGTTCGGCGCAGGTAGACCTGCTCGTGTAGGCTGCCCTGAAGAAACGCAGTGGAGAAGTCGAGGGAGTGTAACTCGTTGTCATGATGTGCTGCTACGTGTAGCAGCGCCCGAAGAGTAGTCATCTTCGGGGTCGGGGCGAAGGTCTGAAAGAATTCCACCCCCTCACGCTGACTGAAGCCTCTAGCCACATAGCACGGCTTGAACACAGGCGGCTCTCCAGGGGGGCGCTTCACATTGAAGAGCCAGCGGCCATCGACTACGTTCACCCCTGGTGGGGGAACTGCGTTGACGTAGGTGCCGGTGGATCTCCAAGATGCCATCTCCTGCTCCATGGCAGCTATCCACTGAGAGGCCCAGGGTACCGAGGTCGCCTCAGTGTAGGTGCGAGGGGTCGGGATGTTGAAAGCGTCTGGGTCACCCTCAAGGACTTGCAGCATGGAATAGAGATGGGGAGCAGCCTCGGACAGGAAAGCAAGCTCGTAATGGCGGTCCTCCAGGACGTCACTGCCAAGGGCAGGAGCACCCGCGACGGATGGAGGACGACCAGGGTCAGAGACCATATTAGTGGCATAGTCAAGGCGGCGGGTATAGGCGAAGTCAGTGACCGCAGCGACAAGAGTGTCAAGACGCGAAACAGGAACAGACGGGTCGGTAACGAGAGAGGCAAGGATACAAGGAATAAGAAGACGAGCTGCACGAAGGTAGTCAAATAGTGGGGGAGGCACGACTACAAGGGAGGACGGAGGAGGCGAGGGCAGGAGGGGAGGATGAGACGCGTAGGAACGGAGCAACATAGGGTGAGAGCGCGGAACAGGAGAGACATGACAAGCACGAGAGGGATGGGGGGACCAGACGTGAGACGAAGGTGTCGGGTCAGGAGACAGAGGATGAGACACAGGAGGAGAACGCGGGGGAAGGCGAGCCGGAGACGAGTTCGGAGGAGGGAACACGGGGCCGTAGACAGGAAGGGGAGCAGACGGTTGAGGAGGCATAGACGCGCTGTCAGGGGATGGAAGGCCGAGCAGGCGAAGGTCTGACACCGGCGGCGACTGCTCCTGCGGCGGCACGACGGCAACACCGGGACCGCCAGCTGCTCTACGGCCAACTCCGGAACACTCCACTCCAGCAACCCCAGAACCAGGAACCTCCGCAGCACTGGTACCACCCCCAGGCCCGCCAGGACAAGCCATGAAAGGAACCCCAGGATGAGCACCCTCCTCAACGCCAGCACCCCCAGGGTTGACGAACTGCTGATGCTACGGCTGCGACGACGGCTACGGCGACTGCAGCTGCGACGACGGAGGAGGAGACACCAGGGGAGGGGCGGGCAGCGAGGACTGCGTCGCACGGCCACTAGAGTCAGCAGACTCCTCGACCGGGACAACCGACGGGAGGAGGGTGACGTGTGACACACTAGACGGAGCAGGGCGGGGAGGGGGAGGAGCAGGGCGGGGAGGGGGAGGAGCAGGGGCGATCGGGGGAGGGGGAACCAGGAACAGGGGGGAGTAATCGGGGGACCATGATGGGGAAAGCGGTGGGAGAAGGAGACAGACTCGTCAAAGGTGACGTCGCGAGAGTGAAAGAAACGGTGAGACGGCGGGTGGTAGAAGTGCCAGTCAGACGAGTCGAGGGGGAAACCGAGGAAGACACAGGGGACGGTGCGCGAAGTGAGCTTGTCCGTGCCAGAGGCACGAACGTGAGCAAGACAGCCCCAGACGTGGAACGCAGACGCGTCACCAGGGACACGGTCCAAAGAAGCACGGCGAAACCTCCTGTTGCTGGGGGTGCGGCCACAGGTTAAGCTGGTGAGCGGCGAACGACGAACAGACAGCGTGTCGACAAAGTCAGTGAGGGTGAGGTCAGCAGGGTGGAGTCTAAGAAAGTGATCGCGGGGCAGTAACACGGCGGTCAGGAAGGCGGGTGGCAAGCAGGTAGAGGGTAGAGAATATGGGTGGCTGAAAGACATGAAGTTGGGACTCAGTGCAGGCAGTGCACCAAGTCGCATCTAGCGTGCGCAGGTGGGCGGCCAGGTCAGCGACTGTGGGGAAAGACGCGAGATCGGGAAAGAGTATGGGCAGGATCAGACGATCGACTGAGGCAGCGGGTGGGGTGGAGTAGCGTGCGACAACAGCCTCGAGGAACTCCTGCGTAGTCCTGTCTGACCGAAACCGTGGGCGCTCAGAGAGGGGGAGTGCATGACTGATCGCGAGCTGTGCGACTTCGTCATGCGACAGCAAGACTGAGCGGGCAAGGGCGGCAGTGGCAACGGACTCACGGTCAACAGACAAGGGGTCAGCGGGTAGGGGGTCAGGGCAAAGGATTGTACCGTCGAGGTGGACGGCCAAGGAGTGGCCGTGTGGCCACTGACCAGTAAGGTGATGACGGAGGTCGACGAGCCACGTGTCGAACTCGACCGGCTGGCCCTCCGCGTCGAAGCGCAGCACCGAGTCCGCCATTAGGGTCGGTGCGGCGGCTGAAGGGCGGGGCAGTACAGTGGCTGTGCGGTGCGGTACAGTGAGGTACAGCGAGGGGTACAGTACGGTGCAGGGGCGGTGCAGTGCGGTGCGGGGTCAGTGCGGGCCGGCTGGAAGGCGAGGCCGGTTGGGCGACAAGGCCGACGCGGCGACGGGGTCGGCTAGGTGACGGGGCCAGCTACCTGGCGAAGTCGGCTCGGCGTGGTCGGCTACGTGACGGGGTCGGCGACGGGACGGGGCCGGCTAGTGGAACGGGCCGGCGGCGGGACGGGGCCGGCTACGGGGACGGGGCCGCGGGGCCGCAGGTCGACGGGGCCAAGGGGCCGCGGGGCCGCTGGTCGACGGAGCCGAGGGGCCGCTAGGGGACGGGTCCGCAGGGCTGCTAGGGGACAGGGCCGCGGGGCCGGTGGTCGACGGGGCCAAGGGGCCGCTAGGGGACGGGGCCGCGGGGCCGCTGGTCGACGGAGCCGAGTGGCCGCTAAGGGACGGGGCCGCGGGGCCGCTGGTCGACGGGGCCGTGGGGCCGCTAGAGGACGCGGTCGCGGGGCCGCTAGGGACGGGGCCGCGGGGCCGCTGGTCGACGGGGCCGAATGGCCGCTAGGGACGGGGCCACGGGGCCACTAGGGGACAGGGCCGCAGGGCTGCTGGTCGGCGGGCCGAGGGGCCGCTAGGGGACGGGCCTGCGGGGCCGCAAAGGGACGAGGCCGCGTGGCCGCTGGTTAACGGGGCCAAGGGGCCGCTAGGGGATGGGGCGGCGGGGCCTCTGGTTGACGGGGCCGAGGGTCCGCTAGGGGACAGGGCCGCGAGCCCGCTCGTCGACGGGGCCGAGGGGCCGCTAGGGGATGAGGCCGTGGGGCCGCTGGTCGACGGGGCCGAGGGCCACTAGGGGATGGGGCCGCGTGACCGCTAGGAGACGGGGCCGCGGGGCCGCTAGGGGACGGGGTAGGCGAGACGGCTAGGACCTACGGCTCAAGCGCTGGTGGGCGAAGGGGACCTAACCTACTCATGATACCATATCAAACTGAAATACTGACTAGAATGTGAGAGTACAAGGCATTATAACATAGTGGGCTGTACTCTCTAAAGGCACAACCCTATATGGTCTACAACATCACACACAAATGTGTTTGACAGTTCTTCAGTAAATTCTGGTCAACACTTTACAAGTTCTAAGACTTCCGCTGTCTTACTAGTCTACCATTCCAGCAAAGACCCTTGGTTAAGTCTTGAAGTATCGCAAGGCTGTAACACTGACTCTGGTGTTATAACTTGTTAATACTGGCTGTTGCTGGAGGTACTTCCAGTATTACTTTCTACTTCATATGCTTGTGTTTGCAGATTCTATACTTAGTCTCCTGCACCACCTTTCAAATTCTTTCAGTAGTATCAAGCAAGCCGTGTCCATGTGCATAGTATGTTCCGAGCTATTACAACAATGTTTGGTCCCACCTCCATGCCTAGAGCACTTGGTACTTGTGGAAGCGTTATACTAAGTGATCATGACGCACATGACACTAAGAAAGGGGGAGGAATATTGATTATGTACCCATCGTTGCTCCGAACTTCGCCATTTCCCTCAGGGCCGTTAGAGCTTGAGAAAACCAGGAAACTCTGTTACATCCAGGGTCCAAAATCTCGCCGCAATTAACGACAGGCGAGCGATCATTGTCCCGCACGAACGAAACCAACCAGACCTCAACACACCCAATCTGGCCCGCCAAAGCCAAAGCCAAACCAAGGTTCCGCGCCCTCTGCCCTAAACCAACAACCCCGCTCCGGAGGCTCCGAAAGCCAACACCAAGGCTCCTCCAAGCCCAAGGGCTCCAAGCCCAAGGGCTCCAAGTCCAAGGCTCCTCCAAGCCCAAGACTCCTCCAAGCCCAAGGCTCCTCCAAGCCCAAGGCTCCTCCAAACCCGAGGCTCCTCCAAGCCCGAGGCTCCTCCATGCCCGAGGCTCCTCCAAGCCCAAGGCTCCTCCAAGCCCAAGGCTCCTCCAAGCCCAAGGCTCCTCCAAGCCCAAGGCTCCAAGCCCAAGGCTCCTCCAAGCCCGAGGCTCCAACGTTCCCAGAGCCAACAGAAGCGCTCACGATGAGAGCCCACGAAGCTAGGTGCAGAAAAGAGGCACCCGTGCCATGCGGTCACTTGCGCCAGTACAGCAGTAGCGTAGTCCTCTCCCCCTAATGTTGCAGGCTTCTCTCTCTCCCACGAGCCGGAGACGCTTCGGTGGAAACGCAGGGCCTTCGGTGACCCTGCCGTGCGCGTGCAAGTTCGTTGGAGCATTGGGCGTAGAGGTTATTTCCAGCGTTAGGAAAAGCCCTACACTGAAACTAGTCGTTCACCTCTTGGCCACACAAGCCGGCGATCAGCCACGGAGGGACTAGCCTGACAGCTGGTCTACGAGGGCTCTGCATTTAGAGTTGCATTTAGGGCTCCAGCCGCATTTAGGGAAATGCGCAGCATTTCCGCGCATGCACAGCCACACTCGTCATTGTCACCGTTCCAGCAACGAGCGTCCTCCCCCCTCTGTAGTGCCACTCAACGTGACGCCTGCCAATCACCTGTAGAAGAAGAGCCAGAGCAGACTCCACATTGTTCTTAACTCGTGACTACTTCCGCTGCGTCGGCTGCGTCGGTTGCGTCGGTTGCGTCGACTGCGTCGGCTGCGTCGACTGCTTTGCTTTGCAAGGGTTTCGTCTCGCAGCCGCCCAGTGCCCTTGCATTGCCCGCGCTCCGTCAGAACGAGGGATCCGGGTGGGTGCAAGCTGGCCCGATTAAATAGAGAAGTCGTACAGACGATCTCGTTACACGCGCGAGCTTATTGGCCCGAGTGGTAACAGGCCTGCGCTGGCAAGTCGAGCAGGTCGGGCAAGACTCGGCGTTGAGACGCCACGTGGCAAGCCACCTGCATGCCGCGCACGGCCCGTCGCGCGCGTACCGTTACTCTAACCATGGGGAGGATATGTTGACGCGTTAACTCGCTGGTAGATGCACGAGAGACCCGTACTGACCGCCGTCCGCCTCCTAACCGAAGCGCCGGCTCGCAACGGGCGTCGCCACGGTGGATGCGCCAGCAGAGGCCCCCTCGTTACTGGGGGCCTCGGTAGAAGAAGATCGCGGCGATCGCGGCGGCGGAGATGCTGTAGCTCAGGCAAGCTCTTCGTCCAGTCGCAGTCCTGGTGCCACCCTGTCGCAGCTGGGTGTTCCACCGGGCTATGCGACTTCTGGCGACACAGCCGCTGTCGCCTGCGCGATCGGTGCGGTCGCGCAACCCGCCGATTCAGGCAGATTGTTGTCGCCAAGCCAAGGGAAACAGCTCGAGCAGGAGTCGTTGGTTGTCGGCGGAGCCGTCGCCGGCAGAGGCACAGTCGCAGGGGAGGTTATCTAGCGAACGTTTCGTGCCACACTTCGGTGGAGGGGGCGGGGAAGGGGAAGGGGAAGGGGGAGGGGAGGGGGAGGGAAAGGCGATTGGGGAAGGGAAGGGGCATGGGCACGGCGCGAGGGACGCGACGGTAGGCAAGGGGGAGGAGGAGATAGTGGTGGTGGAATCGGGGGTTGCGACGGGGACGGGGGTGCGCAGCGTGCTCCTGGCGGCGGCGCGCACGGCGGAGAAGGCCAGGCGCGGGAGGCGGACCCTGTGACGATGCCGGGGAATGCGGCGCGAGGAGCGGAGGATGCAGCGGGACTGGCTTGCGGAGCAGACTCCGAACCGTCCCAAGCGGAAGCTGTGGCGGAAGGAAGAGGGGACGGCGGGAAGAGCGGATGGGGGAAAGGCGGAGGAGAAAGGGGGTGGGCGGGAGGGAGGAAAAGCAGAGCTACCAGGGGGGGAAGGTGAACTGGGGGGGCGGAGGGGATGAGAGGAGAGGGGTTTATGGAAGGGGTTGGGAGGAGGGGGGCGGAAGAGGGTGGGGAAGAGGGGGTGGACGTGGAAGCGGAAGAGGGAGTGGTGGAGTGGAATGGGGAGCGGTTGGGGAAGAAGGTGCAGTGGCCTGACGATAGAGGTCTCACGCTGGCTGATGTGCGCGAGTTCGAACCCAGGTGAGGGGACTGGTGCGTTTGTGTGTGTGTGTGTGAGGGGGTGTTGGGGGGGGGGGCTGTGTGTGGGTGTGTCTGCTTGTGTTTGCACGTCCAGGAGTGAGGGAGGAGGGAGCGCATGTGTGTGTGTGTGTGCGCGCATGTGTGTGTGTGTGTGTGTGCGCATGTGTGTGTGTGTGCGCATGTGTGCGCAGGTGTGCGCCAAGTGTGTGTGTGTTCACTCTCGAGTGCATGGCTACATGGAACTGAGAGGTTTTCCTATCTCTGCTCTTCACGCCATGCCATTCATGCCATGCCATTCATGTCATGCTCTCCGTCTCCTGCGCTCCACATCCTCTCGCCTGCTATCCATCACGCCTCCCTGCGGTGCTCCGTGTGTTGTGCGTGCAGCGAGTCAAGCTGTGAGGATGAGGAGAATGACGGACAGGGGACCAAGCCACGGTTGCAGCTGTGCCATTCTCTAGGTTCTGCCCTACACCTCTGCCCTACACCTCTGCCCTATACCTCTGCCCTACACCAGCTGTCCTTCCTCCTTCTACTCCCCCCCCCTCCACCCCCTCCCATTTCCTCTTCCCTTCTCCCTCCCAATCTTTCAGCGCCTTTACCCTTTCGCTTATCCTTGCTGCCTCTTCACATCACTCCATGTCCCTATTCCCCCCTCTCACAAGCACTGTCCCTCCAACAACCCCCCTCCCTCAGTCTCACTCTCTCTGGCACTCACTCTCGTTGTGCCTCCTCTCACTCCCCTGTCTGTTGTCTCCTCACTACACCTCCTCTCACTCTCAACTCAACACCTCATAGACTTCCCCCATAACGTCATTAGGATTTAGGCCACCGCCGAGCCGATACAGCTTCCTATAAGCTGCTGCAGTTCTAGCTCCGTTCACTATCCTTGCATCCATGCACGCTGCCCCAACTGTTCAGTTACAGGAAGAGAAGTGCATTTGCCTAGCGTAGGTAATTCCTTTTTCTTTGTAACCGCAACATCAATGATTTGTAGGAAGTGCAGGAGTATGCAGGTTGGAATACTGCTTGTAGACTGTTGGGCTGAGAAAAGCCCTTAGGATCTTTTGCAGAGACTAAGTCCAGCTGTAGAGACTTGAGGCTTGGAGTAGTGCAGCGGAAGTTGAGGCAGTTGAACCCTTGTACTAGTATGTGAGAACAAGTGATTAATAAAAAAGGCAAACATACAGCAATATATAGAAGATAAGGAACAGTTGTAGAGTACAGTTGCAGTAGCGGTGTATCGAGTCGTACAGCGACTCGATTGTCGCTTCGGTTACCATCCGTGCTGTTGTAACGGTCAGTCGCAACCTCCAGTTGCGACCCTTTGAGTCCCAAACCCTTCGTGTTCTTTGTCCGCCCCCTCGTTGTAACCTCCGTTGACTCGCGTACCGTTTGCAATCTTTCCTCGAGTGTAGTGTTACCACTTCAGAAACGCTTAAGTCTTTTGATGTACTTTCAACACTCCCCTTCGTTTCTGGGAGTTGCTGACTTGTTCAGGTCCGATGACGTTTGTTTGTCCGGTCCAGCAACATGCAGTAGTCGAATTTTGCTTTTGCCAATTCTTCGTCAAATAGTCTGCGGCCATTTCTGTCGGTCGGGCAGTAACTGAGTTGAAGTCTCCCTTTTCGCGATTTCATCTTTGACGAAGAAGTACCGCAGGGCGATGTGTTTGGTTCGGTTGGCGGAAGCCGTCCTTGTTTGCGGATTTTGATCGCAGATTGGTGTCGCAGAAGAGTGAGAAGGCGGGCAGGGTCGTGATCTTCGCTTCCTCGAGTAACTCTCGCAGGTAGAGTCCTTCCTTGGTCGCAGTACAAAGGGCGATGTACTCTGCTTCAGCCGAGGATAGTGCGATTAACTCCTGCTTGCTCGACTGCCAGGAGATAGTTCCGATGGGTTCTAGTCGGTAGATGTAGCCCGTCCTAGGATCGTCGGATTTTCCCTGTCTCCCGCGTGGTTCGGCCGTCGACGTATCCGAGTAGTTGTACGGACGGTGTTGTCGCTTTGCTGTAGGTAAGTCCGATCGTCGGCGTGGAGACGAAGTAGAGTAGTGCCCGGTTGAGTTCCTCGAGATCTTCCTGTTCCGGTTGCTTCAGATGCGTCGCTAGTTGACTCGCACTATAGGACAGGTCGGGTGCAGGTGACTGCTGCGATGTAGGCAACCGAGCTTCTGTTGATACTCCTGGATTTGCTTCGCGGGGAGTTTTGCGGAGGCGCTGTTGTTTTTCCGTAGCGGTAGGGAGTCGGGACCGTAGTCGGCGTCAGTCCGAATTTCTTCGCGATAGTGCTGCGTACTTTCCAGCGTGTAGGTAGAACGCCGAGTTGTCTTCGACGACATTTATCCCAAGTACTGGGTCACTGAGTCGGACACCGTGAGCGTCAGGTCCCCTTTCAGCTCCCTTCGAACCAGGTGACGATGTCGGTGGTAGAACCGATGTAGAGCAGGTCG